AACAACGACATAAAATCTCAATTGGCTACACTGAAGGTGCAATATGAGAGCGCGCGTCAAGAAGTGCTCGAAAGGGATCAACGACTACTCGACCTGATGAATCAGTTGAAGAAACTTGAAGAACGCTGTGCACAAGCCGAGTCACAAGCAATGTTGGCCAATCGTTATAATGATGAAATCGAGAGACTGAACAATTCTATACGTGAAATTGCACAAGCTGTCGTACAAGATGCTGAAAGTGCCGACCGTGAAGCGGACGTCGCAGAAGCAAACGAAACAATGCAGCACATGCACTTAACGCGTGATAGTGGTGCTAGCATGGGCGTGCCCACGAAATCGCCGCGTCGTAGCTCAGCTCGTGCATCACAAGCTTTCGCAGAAGGCACCATATCAGCAGTACAGGCCGCTCTACATAAATACCAATTGGCTTTGCATGATATGCAGGTTAAATTTCAAAATACCAACGAAAATTTGCGAAATACTAAAACACAACTCGAAACAAGCGAAGGCACAAAGACGCTATTGACGACCAAAGTGCATCAGCTCACCGAAAAATTGGATGCTAGCAATTCGAAGCTGTCTGAACTATTGAAAGAAAGAGATAGTCTTCAGAAGACACTAGAAGAGATACGTCAACAGAAACAGCAAAGCGAGCAGGGGCGTCTCGATTTAAATTCTGCGGTACGTTAGTATAGCCTACTGGTTTTTAATTTACACAATTTTTGCCACTAGATGATAAATATCGGTCACATATGAATACATAAATAATAATTTATTAAATATAATAAATAAATTTAAATATGCGTTTGGGAGAGTTTGAGGATGATACAAACTTAAAAACTACATTTTTGCAAACCAAAAAAAAAATCGAAAAAACACAAGATGGCGGCCATCTTACTATTATTTGAAATATAAATAATATTTATTTCCTTGAGCTACTCTTATCTATCGAACTATGGAAAATTCCATTTCAACTTTTTTAACCAAATTTTGACATAACCGCTTTTTGTTGTTGTTGGGTTTTCGTTATTCCTCATAGGTGTATTTAATTATACAAAAAAATCATACGTGTACTGGCAATCAAAAGTGAGAGCATGATGTTTTTTGTACAATATTTGCAATGCTTTGTAAGTTACAACTTTTTTTTATTATTTTTTTGTTCATGCTTTAATTTAAACCACTTAAGTCAAACTTTCTGTATAAGGTTTACAGAACGTGGAAAAGTTCGAAAACTTTTCATCTAAATTTTGAACTTTTTAATCTGAATTTTTACAAAAATTTCGGGTACGTAGATAGATCGGTTATGTAATTCTAGTGAAACAAGTGAAGCGACTAAAAAATCTCGTTGATTTTTTGTAATTTTTTTTTCCGACGGATTTTGCGGTTTTGTGCATATAACAAGTGAAATTTACAAAATATAGGGCTATTTTTTTAAATTTTGTTTGAAAACTCTCTTGTGCTTTTTATTCCATGGAAAAAGTGCAAAAACCGTCAGCAATAATTAATCATTAAAAATCAACGCGATTTTATAGCCGCTTAAAACTTGCACTTATTTTACTAGAATTAAAAAACCGATCTATCTGCATACTCAAAATTTAATCTAATAATTCAAATTAAAAAGCTCAAAATTTTAATTTGAAAAACGTTGCACAATGCATTAACTTTTGATATCCAGTGTACATATCACATACATACCTAGAAATATTATAACTACTTGTGGATCGTACAGACTCATCGCAATTAGTACAAAAACAGGTATAACACTAATCTTTTAGTTAGTGTACATATATAATCATGAAGAAAACAATATTTGAATTCATTGGAGGTACATAAGTCCTATGCATTGATTTATGCAAAAAATTGTCATATTATGTTTTTTTTTTAGTAAATTATTTGAAATTAAAAATAATATTAAATTTCTTAGCTACTTTTATCCATTCAAGTACTGCATTCAAAATTTCAAGGAATTCGGAATAGGTTTAAAGATTGCGACTTCAGCTTAAAGTTCGAAAAATGCTAAACAATCCCTTTCCAAGATTTTGAAAATTTTCGAATTCGGGTGAAGACCTCACATCTGGTCCTTTTAACATAATATTTTCTTTTTGTATGTCTATAAAAATTTCTGGGACCGAAAATAATAGTTATGATTTTTTTTTAAGTCAGCAATTAACCGTCAAATTTTAACTTTTCAGGTGTTAACTTTTATTTTTGATCGAAAAAATAAAAGTCATATTTTAACTTTGATTTTTGACCAAAAAATAAAAGTCAATTCGTAACTTTTATTTTTGACTGAAAACATATCGGTGAAAAAATAACGAATATTTTTTGACTTTTTCGAAAGAAGGCATAACCGTTATGGTCTCTGAAAAATTAAAAAAAAAAAACTAGAAAAGTGATTCAGATTTTATAAATTTTTGCCATTTTTTTTATCCATTTGGGATTGTGCCTTTTAACGCATTATTTATGTGATGTATTTCATCACCAAAATGATTTTTGAAGAAAGATAATCGAATACATACATACGTATGTATATTGTTTTGAAAAAAAAAATACCCATATCTACTAGAGTAAAAATTTGTGAAGTGGGCCACCATTTTTTCGAAGGTCAAACTTTTTTATGCAATTATCTGTTTATGCTTCACACGGCTAACTTTTTTCTGCAAATAATTGCTAATAGAACGTACAAAAATATTTGCCAAAAACGCAATTTTAAAGCCATAGAGATGTCAGTAATATTTAAAAAAATTTTAATAATTTCTATAAAAAAATAAAAAATTATGGTCAAATAAAAAATAAAAATGGGAAGAAAACACCATCATTCTCAACCGTTTAAAATATGAGCAGAATCGGTGGTACCAATCGAGAGATAACATTTAAAATCTAAACAATTTCGAAAAATGCCAAGGCTACGAAATACTAGTTACGATATAAAAATTTCGTAGATGTGAAAAAAAAATTATTTGAAAATAAACGGTGGAATCGTTTGCAATATCATCACAACCCTTTTTTTCAGTTTGAAAATCTTAGCGGGGATTTTGAGAAGTTACAGCTAAAATATGGAAAGTTGCAAAAGAAAATCGACCTGCTTGAAGATGACAAAAAGGCGGTTGAACTGGAAATTCAACGAATACTTAAGGACAAAAACATAATTGAAATGAATCTAAGGTGAGGCTGTGAAGATTGTATTAAGAATACTTGATAGTAATTGTAGCTAAAAATATTTATATAGGTCTGAAGAGGACCGAGGAAGTCGCTTGCGTGAGGAGACAATATCCTTACGCGAAGAATTGAACAGCGTAAGCCTTAGTCGCGATCTGCTTGAGCAACAACGTATCGAATCCGATAATATCATTAATTTAATTGAAAAGCAAAAATCTGATTTAGAATATGATTTGGACAAGCTGCTCTTGGAGAAATGTGACTTGCAAGAGAAGCTGGACAAAGTGTCCAACAGCAACTCATCCACCTCAGACGAATTGAAAACAATCCACAGTAGCTTAGCACAAACACAAGAGGAGCGCAATAAACTCAAAAGCGAAGTAGATGAATTAGAAAAGGAAATAGCAACAGTGCGGAAGGAGTTGAGCAGCGTTGAAAAGGCACGCCTAGAATTGGAAACGGATAATTTGTCATATAGCGAAAAGCTCAAATGTACACAATTGGAGAAAGAAAAAATTCTACAGGACTTGGCATGTATCACTCGAGATCGTGGTGATATTCACAATCAACTTACAGCTTTGTGCCGCAAAAAGGAATCGCTTAATGAAGAACTAATGCGAACACGACAAAAATTGGAGCAAACTGTTGAAACAAATAATCGTTTAAATAGAAATTTGGAAGAAATGGTTAAAGATGTGGAGGAGAAGCAGGTTGTAATAGATTTGCATGAAAAGGAAACACATCGTCTACAGGTAAATTCAGATTTTTTTTTTTAATACACTGAGAAAAGAGTCAGCTAAATTTATTTCTTTCAACACCAGATTTGGTAAATGTAAACAAATCGTATTACTATAACCAAATCACGTATTGAGAGAAACACATTTCGTTGTTTTAACTAAAATCTTTTCTCAGTGTACAATGTAAGAAGTTCATAAAGTACAAGTCATATCTCGAAGACGGCCGTGGCTCAAGCTGAGGTAGAGTGTTACCAGATAGTCACCTTGAGATCGAGAATGTATTTTAAATTTTCCGCCAAGAATCACACTGGATTACAGATTTCGGTTCTTTTTTTGTTCCACGGATGCCACTATCCAATTCCTATGTAAAATTGCTTGCTGATTTCATTTTTTTTTATGGATAGCTCAAAATTCACTTGAACAATCGTAATACGAAATGAGGAAAATGAAAGATAACAAAATTCTTCATGAACCGTATATACATAACATTTTGTTAGGCCAGATAGTTTAGGAGAAATTAATTTATCATTCCATTTTTTTTTTTTTATGAAAAAATTTAAACTTTAACAGGCGAAAAATTAAAAAAAAATAGCGAAATTTGTATGAAAGCCTGTGTGGAATGAGTGGTCAAATGAAAACGTGCAAGGATTTTTTGTATGAGCAGGAGAGAGTGTTACTCATACGCCACAGCGTACATGGCGCACTCGTACATGGCGTTTGAGTAGCATTTTATCCTGCTCATTTTTCACACAAAAAATCTTTGCGCATTTTCGTTTGAGCACTAATTCCTTTTCTATTTATGCATAATTTTTTTTCATGAGAAGTTTGATTTTTTTTTAGTAACAGATCATGCTTTAACACAAGCAAAACAAAAAATTGCACCGAAACTGTTATTTTTTTTTTCTTTGTTAAAGTTTGTCTTTTTTTGTTTTTCTTAAAAAACCCAAAATCAGGAATGATTATGAATGTATATATATATATGAATAAATTTGTTTAGCTTTAATTTTCCATATTTCGTATGCATTACGATTGTTCAATTGTTTCGTAAGATATACATGATTAAGGGGAACCAGCTGAATAATCTCGAAAACCTATCCATAGAAAAAAACACCAACTCCATTTTCGGAATCACCGAGCAATTCCACGTAGGAATTGGATAGTGGCATCCGTGGAGCATTTTTGCTGTAAACCAGTCTTATTAACTAGATATTTTCTAGTTCATTACTATTTGCTTTTTCGATACATTTAAAAATTAGGGCCCAATCACGGCACTTGATACGAAATTTCATTTTGAGATTATGGCACCCGAACCGAACCCGAACTTTTAATACCCTAGTGCACTTGTGCAAAAGGGTATTGTAACTTTGTTCACATAACGGGTGTTTGTAAAACGAATCGAGATAGGTATAGACAAATGTATACATAAATGATCTGACTGAAAAGAGAAGTCGATTAAGCGGTGACTGCCTGTCCGTCTGTGCACACGATAACTTGAGTAAAAATTGAGATATCTTAACGAAACTTGGTTGGTGTACTTATTTTCACCGTAGGGTGGATGGTATTGGCAAATTCGGAGAATAACAATGTCTACCACCCATATAACGGTTGTTTTCGGAAATACGAAAGCTACGATATTTTAGTAACTACTGAAGCTTATTCACTCAAAATCGACATTTACAATAATTTTTAAACGAAAAATAAGAGTATAAATTTTTGGAAAATGGGCGTGTATATTTTCGTAACCGCTCCATCAATTTCTCCCAAACTTGGCACAGTTGTTAGCCTTGGTACAACATACCAAACAACTGAAAATTTTTGGAATCGGACAGTAACCACGCCCACATATCATATAACGGTAATTTAGGGAAATACGAAATCTTCGATAAGTCAGTAAATAATAAAGCTAATTTATTCAAAATTGATGTTTGCCATAATTCTTTAGCAATGTCCTTACGGTATTCCAGAAAAATACATTTTATTTTAATAAAAATTTCAAAAAGGGCGCTTTTAATGGAAGGAATAAAAATATATGTAAAAATAGGTATTTTTATTATTTTATTTAATAGTACGATTCTTAAGCTTTCAAAATAGAAAATAAAATGTTACTAATTTTTTGCTAATGCATAAAACGCATTATTTCATTTCTTGTCAGTGCCATCAGATAAGCACGAATCGTTCGATTTTCAAAAACGACGTGTCAGATTAAAAAGCTTGAACTGTAGATTTTTTGATTTTTGATTTTTTAAACAAGTGGCAACATTTCTACGTATCGTTTAGAAGTAAGGCATTTTCAAAACAATTTCAATTTCAATTTAAATAACTTTAATAAAATTTGTAACAGGTGGCAACCCGTTTCAAAAAACTAAAACTTTATTGCACATCGGGCCCTGTCATACCGTCAGTATTTATTGACGTGATCCAAGTATCGCGATATTTATTGACGGTATAGCATACAATATTGCTGGATCGTGATCCATACCGCAAAATTTCTAAAATTTTTTAAATCTGGATCGCGGATCGCAATACCCCAATAAATATTTTGTACGTGGAACATTGCCTACCGAGCCCTATTTCACTAACAGACTTATTCAAAAAAGTTGTCCGATTTGCAAAATAGTTTTGAATATTTGCAACGTGGTCCATTTTGTGCTCATAGGAATTGCTGACGGCATTGCGTACAGAAAAAGAGTCCCTAGAAGCAGTACTTTTCGATACAAATACTCAACTCGAAGCCACTGAGGAAAAACGTCAACAGCTCGAACGTGATCTTCAGGAGGCACTCGTGCGCGAAGAATCACTTAAAAATTCGGTAACACGCCTGAATAAAGAATTGGAACAGTGTCAACGCCGCGCTCAAGAAACGAAAAACCAACTAATGAATGCTGCACGCGCAGCTGAGAACGACTTCAATCAAAAGATTGCCAACCTCAAAGCGGTAGGCGAAGAAGCGGCTAAGAAACATTCAGAAGAGCTTTATAAACTTAAAACGGGATTGGAGAAGCGTATGGCGCAAGCACTTCAAGCATTACAAACAGCTAAGGATGATGAAATTGAGAAATTACAAGAGCGCCTAGAGGCATTACAAGCGCATTTAGAAAGTTTGGTACAGCAGCACGAAGAGGCTATGATACGGGCTGAAAATGAAAAACAGCAGGCGCTGTTGATGGGTAAGTGTACATACATACATACATATGAGCCATTCTTTTCTAAGTCGGACGGATTAAGTAAAAAAAAGATTATGTCATGGCTCTACGATGAGCAGAACCCGAGATATAACGATTTGAAGAAGTATATGATGACAGATCAATCTCCGAAAAAAAAATCCTCGAACACGTGTTAGCTTATTTCATGTATAGAACCCAAAAAAAAAAAAATGTGAACCCAATCGAAAATGTGACACCCAATTTGGTGTCCGATATGAAAACCAATGTCTCATATGTACATAAGTACGTAGTTACTAAATGAGACGTAAACTTTTGAAAATATTTTAATTAAAAATTAGCACATCGAGATAAGCAAGCATTGATGGAAAAGTTAGAGGCTGCTATGCGGGAACTAAAGAACGAACAGGACGGACTCGAACGTATGAAACGTGAACATAATGCACACGATGAAAAACAACGAAATGCCATTGCTCAGCTAAAGGATGAAATATCCGCCATGCGAACAAGGGAAGAGGAAAACAAGTAAGTTTGGAGGATTTGCAGAAATGGATTCCGTTATGTACGTATGTATCGACTGCTGAGCGGAAGATCAATATATCTCGGCAGTCAGTTCGAAAACGCCCTATATCAAAACACTTTTCAAAAACGTCCTATTTCAGAATTTGGTTGAAGAACGCCCTATTTTAGAATTCATTTCAAAAATGCTCCATCTCAGCTGCCGATTCAAAAAGTGAGATAGGGCATTTTTGAATCGTATTCTGAAATAGGGCGTTCTTCAATCAAATTCTGAGATAGAGTGTTTTTCAATAAAATTCTGAAATAGGGCGTTTTTGAAACTGACTCCCGAGGTAGGTCGATCTTCCACTCAGCAGTCGAATATAATGTATTTATGTACTTATATGTATATGCATAATAATAATAAGCATTCAATTAACACTGTACTTTTTGCAGAATAAAACTCGAAGAATGTATACGAAAACAGGAAATACAGCTAACGAGTGTAAAAGAAGAAAGAGATAATCTTAATCGACTCTGTGAAGAGTTGAAAATGGATATACGACTCAAGGAAGACAAAGTCGAAGGAATTAACGCAGAACTACAAGATGCGCTCAGGAAAGCAAAAGAAGGTAGGTTATGAAAAATACAACTAAATATCTTTACAAGAAATAAAAAATATGTATATACTACATATGTATATGTACATATCGATGGTCTTCTGGAATAGCGACACAACTCAAAACTAAAAAAAACGCTACTAAGTGGCTCATATGTTTAAAATTTAAGTAATAAGGATAAATAAAGTAAATAGTAAGGATTAGCCGTGGATTACAGACACGAGGCCCTTAACTGTAGTAAGGATTTTGTTAATTTGAGTTGTGCTATTGCTATTGAAGTAGCAAAAATGCTCGATATTTATGAAAAACGGTCTCATTATGTACATATCACACATCGAGATATCGACTAAATTATACTTCTTATCGACTATTTCAAGCATTTATTGAGACGAGTCTGTCAAATTAGACTCCCAATTCTCACGATCTCTTTGAGGGCAATAACTCCTCTATTATTAGAAAAAAATCTATCGTCTGCTAAAGATTTGATGTGCCCCAAATTATGGGTAATTGTCTCGGGGGTACAACAAAGCAATCTTAAATGATAGTATAATAAACCTCCCCCCCTCACTCCATAATTTTTTGCTCCACAATTTTTTACACGGGTTTGACGTTTGAATTTTAGTAGCTAGTAGCCCAATAAGCATTTAAGCTCTATGCAGATCACACACTTCCAATTTATTCATATTTAAGACTGCACTGCCAAACAGAAGAAAAAGGTTTTTCTAATAGCGGTCGCCCCTCGGTAAGAAATGGCCAATTTCTGCTATGAAAAATAGTTTCTTGAAACTCCCCCCTTCGTTTTGGCGCTCGCCACAAATCGGAGGAGAAGCTCGGCCAAACACTAACATATTGTGTATTCAAATTCACAGTCCTTAGACTGCTTGAATAACTTCAAATTTGTTTGCAGGTGAAGCTTATATTGATAGCTTGCGCAATGAACTCACGGACTGTCGCCGTCAATTGGCTGACAGTAACATTGAGAAGGATAAATATTCTAACAGTAATAAGGAGCTGCGTGATCACGTGAAGCATGTGGAGAGCGCAAAACGCGAGCAGGCGCGCGCTATTGAGGAAGCTTTGCAGAAAATAAATGCTTTGCAAGATTCCAAAAGCTCATTGGAAAACGAACGTACACGACTGACAACGATCTTGAAGGAGACCGAAAATAATATGAGTAAAACTGTACAGGAGCTGAATGCCACCAAGAATACACTACAGAAAACGCAAATGGACTTTGCGCAAAAGGATGAAGGTGGTAAGGAGCTCCAGAACAAATTAGCTGCCGAAATCGAATTAAAGGAGCGTAGTCAACAGGAATTGTGCCAGATTAAGAAGCAGGTAAGTTAAGGGTAACTTTTACGAAATTTTTCACTTCGTTACACTAATGCAATTTTTTAATTTTTAATTAGCTTGCCGATTTAGAAGAAAATCTATGCGAAACCAGGGCAGAGCTTGGCCGTGCACGCTGTCAGTCCAATCAGGATGAACATCGCTTCCACAATCGCGAACAAGAGCTATTAGCGCGTATCGAAGAAGCTCGCGGTAGAGAGAAGCGGTTGGAAGATCAGAAGCATAACCTTGAGGTATGTCTTGCTGATGCCACCCAACAGATACAGGAGTTGAAAGCTCGATTGGGTGGCGCTGAAGGTCGAATACGCGCGCTCGACGAGCAGCTGGCTTGTGTTGAGCTTCACAAGCGCGACACAGAGCACAAGCTCAGCTCGGTTGCGCACACATTGCGTCGTATTGCAGGCATTCAACCTGATGGCAGTGTTAATCTTTCCTATCGCTTGATAAGCCCAACAAGGCGTTATAGTCCCATTCGAAATGCAATGGCGGCTGGCAGTTGCCATGATTATGATGCCAGAAGCACTTCACAATGTCCGGATGTACCTTGTGATCTGGATCCGGATCTGGTGCGCAAAGGCGTACGAAATCTAATGCATCAAGTGGCACAAATCGAACGTGAAAAGGATGATATGAAGGTGCAATTATCGGCAGCGAAAAAACAATTACAGGATGCCGCAGAGCAGCAGCTGCGTTGCGATGGAAAAGTCAGCAAACTTCAGCAAATGTTGCGTCACCTTCAGGAAGAGAAGGGCAATTTGGATACCGAACGTAGTATGAAAATTTCCGCTTTGAATGCACTCGAAGAGAAGTTTAAGCAGAAGTGCGATGAATGCCAGCAAATGCGTGAAAAAATTAATCAGCTTGAAATGCAGTTAGCATCTTGCAATGAGGAGAACTCCCAGATCGAGGTAAGGTTAAAAGTTGTACTTGTATATATGTAGTACCGTCTGTGGAATTTTAATGCAATTCGTGATTTTTTTAAATACAAATTTTAGTCGGTGGTTAACGATCTCACTTCACATTCGTTATTATTATTGGTGAAGATCCCATTTTATCCAATTAGATTAAATATTATTCGAATAAATTTTGCGCAGTTTGCATAAATAAACAACAAGAGTTCATAGAGTAGAAAGCGGTTGAGAAGCAGAACTGTGGATTCTTTGATTTCATTTTGGGTGTCCACACCTGCCTGGTTATCAGGTTATTTGATTAAAAATTAGCGCAATTCATCTAAACGCGTAAAAGCCTCGTAACCATGTAAACCTCGTTAACTTACTTAATTTTGCATGCAAAATCGGTTTATTTACGAGGTTTACGCGGTTTACGCGGTTGCGAGGCAATTACGACTTTCCATGAATACCCATATTATTTTTCATCTTTTTTCTAGGATCGGCTAGAGAAGTGTCGTACACACGGATCGAAATTAGAGAACGAGAAACGTCATCTGCAGGAAGAACTAGCGAAAGCGGAAGGACGCGCTGCGAAATTGGATCTGCAGCGGGTTGCAATGGAGGGAGATATAAATCGCTTGCAAATGGCCTTACAAGAGAAAGACTGTAATGTGAGGCAGGCGCAAGAACGACTCGACAACCAGAATCGTGCAATGGTCCAATTGGAAGAGCGGTGTTCATCACTTAAGACTACGGTGGATCAAATGAAGGATCGCCTACAAAAGGCGGCGGTCACTGAAGTGGAATTGCGTGGCGAATTGAAAGCACTGAATAAGGAGCTCTCTGAGCAAGGACACTGTTCGCAATCAAATGAAGAAAAAGTAAAACTACTGCAAAAACAATCTCAAGCAGCAGAAAACGAAAAGCGTATACTTGCAGAGCGTCTGGATAATGCACAAAGTAATTTAAATGAATTGCGACGCAGTCAACAAGCACAATTGGACCGTATTCAGCGGCTTCAAGAGCAAGTTACCGATTTGGAAGTGCAACGTTCTGCTTTAGAGTCGCAATTACGCATTGCCAAGTGGAATCAGGAGGCCGGTGATAGTGGCGGTATGGGCAAAAGTGCCGATAAGCGCGAGGAAGAAGAGCTCAGTCGACAACTCAAATCGTCTCAACGAGAAAAATCCGAATTACGCAATAAATTACAAGCTTTGCAGGACAAAGTCAAGCAATTGGAGTCGGAGCGTAAAAGCAAGTTCTCCGGAAGTGGTGGGACCACAGCTTACGATCGTGCAGAGAAGAATACTTCGTATTATGATGCCGGTGACTTCGACTCGAACCGCATGGAAACCACTGCGGGCAATTATAGCTGTGGTCTTGATCATGCCGTCATTGAGCAAGAGGCGAGGGACTTGCGCTTAAAAGTCCGTCGTTTAGAAACACTTTTAGCGGAGAAAGAGTCCGAACTGGCAAGACTTAAGGCACGTTTACACGATAGTGCCAAGTGTGCAGATGGTGGAATAGATGCGGAGCGTTACCGTAATGCCCAAATGCACGCTGAAAAGTTATTGGATGCTCGCGAGCAATCACATCGGCAGCAGGTCATGCGTTTAGAAAATCAAGTGAGCTAATAATATTTTTTTTTTTTTAGTTTTTGTTATAAATACATTACATATATATGTACATACATATGTTCATACGTGTGTACCATTGCCACTGTTTGAGAGCCACGAGCAAAATGGCATACTTATTCCTTTCACGGGGGATGAAATGGCAAGTAAATTTTTCCTAAAAACTAAGGAATGGTGTTTATATCGTCGTTTAAAGTACAAAACCGCGTATCGTCGTTCTGCAAAACCGCGTAACCGACATTTTTTGGCAAAAATTGGATTTGCTCACACAAGCTCTTGGTTAAATCCTTATCCATTCGTCCTCAAATATACTAGCCAGAATTGCGATTGCTTTATAAAAAAGGTAACCATTTTGAAATATGTTTTTACGCTCTAGAAAATAATTTCTACAACTTCACATACGCGGTTTTGCATTTTGTTGATACGCGGTTTTGTACATTAAACGACGATATGTATCTCCTATTAAGGTTTTTTGCGCACTCACTTCGGCATTAGTCCGTACAAGTTTTCTGTAGAACATTTTAACCCTCTAACTGCCTCTTTCAATAAACTTTTATGAAACTTATTTTAAAGAGGGTCAAAAATAATGTGACCGACCGTCCTCCTTTAGGAAAAAGTCCTCCTTTTTTAAGCCATGTCCTCCTAAATGTCCTGCTTTTTGACATTCGTCATTCAAATTTAAAGTTATATTAATTATCGTGTGTACATACTATGCGCTAGATAAAATAAGAAGTACATTCGACATAAAATGCATGTTTTTTTCCGTTAAAAATTCTTTCAAGAACAATATTACCAAAACTTTTTCAATAGTAATTTTAGTAACGTAACGTCATGTAACATCGCGCCAGAAACTTCAGCTGATTAAACAAAAAATTATTATAAAATTAACCTAAACATTCCAAATCTTACTACAACTTTTATACAAATACCCTTGCCCAATTCGCAGTTTGGTAACCCAAGTCAAAATCCACTTCGGTTGTAACGTCACGCCAGCACGGCATATGTTTATTAATATCTTTAAATCGCTGCTACCAGCAGTTGTAATTTTTTTACTAAATAAGCGGAATTTAATGCTATGCGAATCTCGAATAACCTTTTTAAAATTTTTACTCTTTCAGTTTTTTTTTTTAACATTTTGTAACACAAGTTTCACGTAACGCCAAATTGGAAATACACATATTTTTTGTTTTTCGTAGATATCTTTGCTACGTGAACAATTAGCACAAGAAGCTAAACGTCGTCAGCAATACATTTTGCGTAGTTCAAAAGCCAATCGCGAAATGCAACACCTACGAAATACTCTTGGCGATTCATTACGACATGTTTCGCAACATCCATTAGATCCTAATTTATTGGAAAGCGAATCGAGACGGTGAGCATAAATTGTTTAATGCCATTATAAATATTCTTATTTTATTGTATATAATTTTGTACGTTCATGCAGCTTGGATAATGCCGTTTCGATGAGTCTACCACCGTCCACCTGTCGGGATTACGATCAATAAATCCATTTGTATGGGACAACTTGATTGTTACTAGCTAATATGTGGTCCAGGCAAAGGGAAAGGACTTGGAAATAAAAAACTGCCACTTAAAGCTTCCTTATTAAAAACTAAATGCATTTATTAGAATATATGTATACAGGTATAGAAAACATAATTAATACAAAACATGCCTATACTCACTATCCCCTCTCATACAATAAGTGTGTATGAGTTGATTTTGAAACTCCACAAAAATGCATCAGGTATTGAAATTTGTAATGATCCTACAAAATTTACTTATCCCTAACTTCATCGATATTTTATATAGATACATACATACACTGCCGGAACAAAGTATTGGTACAGCAAATTTTTCACAATCAGCCTTATCATGAGTTTCATTTTACCCGAACCGGTTCACTTTTAACTCTTAGTTTCCATGGTATTACTATGGGCGGATGACAAATTTTCGGGTGAATTTTTTTTTCATGTGAAACTCAGGATAAGGCAGAATATATGCAACACTTTTTATTCTAATATTTTTCGGCCAATTTTGTATAAACATATGGTTCATTCAACAACAAAAAGCTTAAAAATGTAATTCCTAAACATTAGGCAAAACTCGCGAAAATTCAGTAAATTTTCAACTTTTTAATCAGGTTTATTAGACTTTTTTTGAGTATGCAGTTTTGCAGCCCATTAAATTCTAGTAAAAAAATGCAAGTTCGGAGTTAGTCAAAAATCGCGTTGATTTTTGAGAATTTTTTTTTTGTTGAAGGTGTTTTGCATTTTTTCCATATTAAGTATTTTCGAAAAAAAATGTTTGTATGGAAGAGACTGCGTGAAAAAAATTACCAAAAATCAACGGTAATTCCTAGGTATTTAAAACTTGCACTTTCTTATAATACAATTGATTGGGCTAGAAATCTGCATACTCCAAACTCTAGAAAATCGGATTGAAAAGTTGAAAATTTTCATGAAAATTTGCTGAATTTTCGCGAGTTTTGCACAAAGTTTAGGAATTATATTTTTATGTTTTTTAGTGTAGAATGAACATATGGTTTTATACGAAATTAGTGGAAAAATATTAGAATAAAAATTGTTGCCTATATTGTGAAAAATTTGCTGTGCCAATACTTTGTTCCGGCAGTGTACATACATATATACGTACTTACATACGAAAATGTACATGTATTTGTATGGTGTAGACAAATTATAACTATTCTGTAGCTTTTCATTGTCTGCGAGATAGACAATAGAATATAGTGTATATTTACTTCCTGCATTCCCACCACAAGTTAATTTCAATTAAAAAAAAAAAAAAACCAAAACATTATTAAACCAAACATTTCCCAACAAGCGCTATTAAATTTTATTTACGTTTATCTTATAAGGCTGTTGCATTTCTCCTCTCTTTAGGAGAACATTGCCGTACAGTTTTGAAAGGAACCATGCAAATTCATATCACCAACTTTCACAGTCACTAATGTATCAATAACAATGCCTCAATAACATTTATATACCTACAAACGTATGCATGTAGGATAAAACACAAACACAATCTAGAATTCAAACATCTATTAAAACAAATATAAGAGCAATTTTCATAAAAGGCAATATTCATAAAAGGAATATTTTAGAAAATATATACAATTTTGGTCAAATAAAGAAAACAATTGGTTTGTATTTTTCCTTTGTTTCATTTTTATTGCGAATTTAATATTTTCTCCAGGTAAGCGACTACAACTTTCATGTTAGCCCTCTGTTTGGACAACTTGGACACTTCGCCTACAATAGCAAACAGTGCTTTCTTTTTGCCGCTTTTGTATTGTTTTACTGCCTGTTCGTTACGCTCAATCGCCTGTAGACAAAGTTGTTCGATAGTCTTTTCATCAGTTATTTGTTCTAGTTGTCGGTCGTATATAAGCTAAAAAATAATACATAAATTTATTAATATAATTTTCTGTGCATACATATGTACAAATCAGCGTTAAAACGTTCGGCGAAAAATTGGTCCGCTTTCTAATGAAATAAATCAAAAATTGTCTTTCTAAACAAAAAATAAAACTTGTACCTTTTGCTCAATAAATAACACTGAGAAAGTTTAAAAACTATTTTGAGTAATACAAATTTTTCGGAGTCAACGGCAGTCCGAGTAACCATGATTATGTTGGTGTACTCCTTATGCACGCAGCTTTTCACATGCAGTGTAGCAACGCTGATAAAAATGTATGTATGTACATATGCAAACGCCGAGTATAAATAGAGTTTACCGATTGGACATTTTGTGCAGGATCCTGATGTAAAAATTCGATAAGCTGTCGACCCGCTTGCAGATTTATAGTACCAGTATTGAGCGCTACAAGGATGTCCTCAAGGTGAGTGTAAGTGAGTTGGCTGGAAGAGCAATACAATACAGCTGCATATTATAGGATAGTAACATAACTTATTAAGCAATAACATGAACGTAAAAATTATCTATGTACAAATGTATTAGTTTAACAATTAATTCCGGTTTCCGTGAAGCGCACGCCTTAGCACATTTATTTTAGACGTTAAGTAACCACTAATTATTTGCAACTTTTTATAATCATTACGGGACTTGTTTTTAAATTTAATATACAACTTCTGTGACCATATACAGTTTCAGGTGTCTATACTTTTCCCCGCGTGTAGAACTACTGCTAACCACCTCAAAGAGAAAAAAATCGTCGATTGGTACATCATGGCCCATAGGCATAGTCGTAAGTTAAAACTCATTCTTGTTAAAATAAAGTTTTAAATTTAGAATAGATTTTTAATTTGTGTCAATAGACATCTTAGAAACAGCTTTTTGTTAAGATGAGAGAGAACAGAGCTACCCATGAAGAGAAAAAATTTACTCGGCAATATAAAGATATATGTGTACTTTAATTAGTTCACCCTGTGTCCGCTGCGGGATTGACATTTTAGCTTCCCGACGAGTCGTGGGTTCGAATCCCACTATCAGGAAACATTTTTTTTTTTTTTGTTATTTTAAATATTGGGGCGTATTCTTGTTTTCGTACGAATCGAAAATCGTAAAATTTTCCAATTATTTTCTATACAAAAATATCAAATTTTCGATTCGTACGAAAACAAGAATACGCCTCAAGAATTTTATTTTTTTTTTTTATGTAATTATAGTTGTTATGACCTGTTTAATTAAAATTAAACTGCACAAAATTTGTTTATCTTGACATTATAATGTGAAATACCGCAAGAATAATAAAATAAAATAAAATAATTTTTATATTAAAAAAAAATCATTAAACTAAAAAATATTGTTTGGTATCGCTCAGAGTAGGAACCGAACCTTATTTTAGCATTTTCAACTCACGTCTTATTTTAAAGTTAAAAATTTTGCTTTTGCATTTTCAGTTGACCATGAAAGAGTTAAGATGGTGATTACAATTGTCCAAACCGTAGCTGTCACAGGTGTGACATGCTTCACTGTTGAATCATTCTTATCCAACTATGCAATGCAATGGTGGTAAACATTTGCAATGAATTTCTAACATTATTACATAAAGACGAAACACATAAACTTCTGTAATACATATATGTATAAACACTTTTTTGACACGGGCAGATAAAGCACTCACACAATTTAATACATAACACAATGTTATTAAAAGCAAATTAGTCCTATTATATATATTTCTTACCAAGCGCTTGAATTATGAATCATGAATTATTTCACAGTACTTTTAACACAACCTATTTGAAACTCACTCAAAAAATTTACTTAGAACTTGATTTCCAAACGTAAAAAAGGGATTAAAGTTGCATTTGAAACTTTAATTTGTTATATTTTGGTTGATTATATGTCTATCATTTTCCTCTACATATTCACCTTTACCTTTATCCTTGCATTCCTTTTAATTTGAATCTTATTTTTAAACCGCTGCTTAGCAAGTTTCTTTAATTGTTCCCACAACGGTCGGGTCTACGAAACCGGAACGACCCACAATTATATCTGACCAAGGACTGTCGCTTCAGCATCGCTCCTCAAAAACTCTTTTGGGGATTTGTATGCTCTTACAACAACAATAACGCTTCTTTAATTCACTATCAATATTAAAGCATACATTTAGGAGGCATTTCCGCTACATTCGCCACTAACGAAATTTTACTACAAAAAAAAGTAAGCACATACTGTCTTTTTTCGGTTAGTTCTTGTCTTTGCGGAAGCAGGAGAAGGAAAGCTAAGTGGCAAACTAATTGAGTATGCAGACAATTCCTCAAATAGGCATTTCACATGTGCACACAAATTTTTCATTTTGCGACAACATCAATGGATTTTTCGAAGTTAAGGTCTAAACTATAAATTTAATTAAAGGAAAACTTAGTTCGTGTAGTCCCTACGCGCGGAAGAAGAGAAACTTAATAGCGTAAATGCCAGAAAGAAAGATATGTGCGATCCACTACATACACATCTTCATCTTCGTCTTCATCTTCATCTTCATCTTCATCTTCATCTTCATCTTCATCTTC